TGCTCGGATGTTCCTTACAGCAAAAGCCTCTGGGTAACGAGTAGTGATACACATCATCGTGATTAGGTAAATATTACCCGACTTAGTTCTAGGTAATGGTCCAACACAGTCCATTACCACATGAGAAAATGGTTCCTCCGGCACGACAATAGGCCTTAGAGGAGCTTTAGGTGGAGTCTGGTTTGGTTTCCCAACCAGTTGACAAACAATACACGCATTACAAAATTTTGCCACATCGCTTTTCAGCTTGGGCCAGAAAAAATACTTTAAAATTTTGTGATACGTAATATTAACACCTTGATGTCCCCCCATAGGATCATCATGAGCAGCTGCCAAAACTCTTTCTCTATAGCAGGTCGGCAACATAACCTGGTGGACTACCTCCCACTCATTTGACAAGGGAGCACTCTGTGGTCTCCATTTTCTCATCAAAATCCGATCATTGTAGTAGTACCCAGTTGCTGCGTCTACAATTTCCTCCATAGAGACGGCTGTTTCATGACAATCTGCAAGAGTGGGGTCAGCTTTCTGTAACTCACTCAAGGAGGCATCTAGGCCTTGGTCAGATGCCATTGGCCGAGGCTCAACAGTGTTCTCCACCTCCCCACTACTCTCGGTAGATGGCGGTGGCAGGCTCTCCACAATGTCCTCGGCCACGTCATCGAGTCGGGCCATGAATGTGTCCGCGAGGTCCACTTGGTTTTCACCACTCGGAAAGCTCCTCGTGACCTCGGGATTTACCACCTTGGCAAGCACAGGGCTGCCCTTACATTTAAGTCCCCTAGACCTGGTCACCGCGCACGCAGGGTACACAACATTATCCTCTGCGGCGGGTGGATCCAGGCAAACCTTAGGGGTAGGCAACCTAATAGGCAGTCTGGAGTCCCCTACCTTATCCCCTGCTAAATCATTACCAACTATTACATCAACATTAGGGAAAGGTAGGTATGAAGTGACTCCGACTGTACAAACACCCTTGTGGAAATCAGATTCCAGGGTAACCTTATGGAGGGGTACTGCTCGAGTATCACTAGTGACACCCTCGACCAGTACCACCTCTCCAGTGTCGAGAGTGTTGGCACCTTGCAACGCACTCTCTAAAATTAAAGTCTGGATGGCACCGGTGTCTCGGAAGATCACCACGTCCTTCCAGGAAGAACCCTCAGACAAAAGTAGTCTCCCTTTCGATAAGAATGGGGTAAGCAAGTCCAACCACTGTGGGTTGGAGGTCTTACTCCCTAACCCTTCTGAAAGCCGCAAGCCCTGTGTCACAACTAGAGCATTGGGTCTTTTTTCAGGGTGCAGTTGCCAACAACGGCTAATAGTGTGGTTTGGACGATTACAGTGACCACAAAAACGTCGGGGAGAAGAGACATTACTAACAGAATTACCCTTCGGTTCACCTTTAGGTGCCGTTGGGCTAGACACTTTAACAGGGTTAGTTATGTCTGAAACAGAAGGTGCATTAGGTAAAGGGTTAGAATGAGCTGGTCTGGACTGGCTGTGGGTATAAGGTTTGCTACTCTGTGGGGTATAATTATTTTTATTGGGCCTTTTGCCCGCCAATTGGTAGTTTTCTGCCAACTTGGCCAAATCCCCTATTTTAGAATTTAACTCTATCCTTCCTTTAATGTACTGTGATACGTTCTCTGGCATAACATCTATAAAATGCTCCATTAAAATTAAGTTCCTGAGAGCCTCGTATGTTTCGGCTTTCGCCGAGCGAATCCATCTATCAAACAATCGAATTTGATCATTCACAAATTCAGTGAGCGGTTGGTTGTGAGTAGGCCTAAGGTTACGATAAACTTGGCGGTGAGCTTCAGGAGTAATTTCATATGCCCGCAAAATACCTTCCCTGACTTTATCATATTCGAAACACTCGTCGTCAGGCATGTTTATAAAAATATCTTGTGCTTTACCCCTAAGTCTTCCCTGTAGGATTTTCACCCACTCTTCCTTTGGCCAGTTCATGGACGTGGCCACTCTCTGAAAATGGTTGAAAAACCTTTCAGGGTCAGACTCGGAAAATTCAGGCAAATTATGCTTTTTCTCATAATGCCTGGGGTTTGAATCCCCGGCAGGTGGAGTTCCAGTGGCATTCGCTCTAATTCTAGCCTCCTCGGTTTTGAGTTTTTGCTCCTCTAATTTTATTTTTGCTAACTCTAAAGCTAATTCACTTTCCCTATGAGTTGCACTTTCTGCTTGGCTAGGCTGGCATAAAGGTGTATCACTTGCCAATAGTTGTTCATCAATACAATGTTCTAATATTTCATTTACCAAAGTCCACTTTTTATCTGCGACATTTAATTCTAGGCCAAATTCCTGGCCTAACAATACTAAATTAGACTTTTTAAGTTTCTTTATCTCTACCACTGAAGGCTCCCTTGCCAGGTTCTGCATTTCAGAAGACATCACTAATAATTCTAGCTCCCAGCCAAAGAAAAAATTAAAAAATAAAAATTGGAAAAAAAAACAAAAATTTGCACGGCCCCTAACACAAGGCCACACTAACCTTAATCGTGAAGGGATCCAGCTGGGTGTCCAGTCAGTGCAAGAATGTCCTTTGCTAGATGAGCTGGACCCTAGGCTAGCACACAACCGTTCTGCGGAAATAAAAAATTTTAATTTTGGCACTCAAGAATCTAATTTTTTACACTTATAATGTTCATCCCGGACTGGCCAACCACTTGTTACAAATGATATGAGTGGGGCTTCTATGGGGTACTGGTACTATTAAGGGGTATAGGTAGTTAGAAGACAGGAGTATCAAATATGGGAGAGCTAAAAGGCCCGGCCCCCAAAATAAACTATCCACAGTAGTAATAACTTGCTACAAGACCAAATATGTTAGTCTAAGGGTTGATCACTGCGCTCCCACCTTGGAAGAAGAGATACTCTGTAATTCATGTACTTATTTATTAACCCGTTAACAACCCCCCATATACACTCACACCAATAACAATAATAATAATAACTTTACCACACTATCTTACGTTAAAAGCCTTGGTCCACATAGGCAGGATACAAGGTTTACACTAATAACAAGCTAGGGTAAAGTACTACTGGATAAGCACTGAAGCTGGATGCAGCTTAGGGTAGTGAAACCACGTGGGACCCTAATACAAAACACAACACTTAGGGGTACCCAAACACTGGCAAAATACTATCCCCAGGTCTCACCAATCGTTACTACCAGAGTAGGCACACTCACTAATGCCCTGTACTTAGCTTAAGGATACAGGAACTCCAGGTAAGGGAAATAAGTAAGAGGAGAAGGAAGGAGAGTAGGGGAGCAGCCACAGAGTAGGTCTTAACCTCACGCCACCAGCCAAGAGAAGAGCGAGCTCCTCGCGACCACCTGGCCTCCCTCATGTCGTGGTGCCGGAAAGAGCCTAATTGATCGTGCAGCTAAGCACATTAAAGATCTTCCCCTATGCAACGTATTGTTACTTTATGAATGATTAGAAAGTATTAGTAAGCAAAGTTGGTGCCTATGTTATTATTTAATAATCAACCCCCAGCTCAGTCTTTAAATGCTCTTTGAGAAACAATAATAGTCTTACGTCTGGCAGGGAAGATACAAACAATTTCCATTCGAAATGCGCCAACTGTACTACTTAGGAAGTTTAATAGCTCAATTTTGACCTCTGGTTTCCACTGGAGAACCCAGGGTCGTAACATGCGCGCTGATCACCGAGTAGGTAGAGCTGTGGACCGCTGTTTGTGTGGTCTGTGGTTCAAGGCTTCGATGATACAAGTGAATGAAAAGTTGTTATTCATGATATAGTGGTTAACAATTTTTATGACTGGGATGTGGACCATCTCTGGTGCAATTGTGGGGACCCATAGCCTCAGAGAAGGGAATAAACAGCAGAGAAAACTTGCCGTCTGACTCTAAATTTGTGTGTGTTTTTGCTTCTACCACCCCTTTTTATTATACAAGATTACACAGCTACATGAGCTGATTGGTTTCAAAATGTGAACATTAAGAAAGAAAAGGATGTTTGTTTCCTTGAGGCTGTAGATTTCTTCGAACTCCTTCAACACTGGGCAGGAACAGAGGATGCAGCAGGCGTTTCTTCTCTGGATCGCACATTGAGGTTTTCTCTGTAATAATCTATCTACCTCTTGATCCCCTTGTCCCCATCTTCTTGGTCCCCAACTTCATTTCCCTCATCCTCCTCCTCTTGCCTCTCTCTCCCTCTTCTCTAATAAAAATTATTAATTTCTGAATCTCTAAGAAAATATATTACAGTATTATGATCACAAAAAACTCCATAGGAATCACAATATATATTTCACAATTGACTCGATGAAAATCACCTGAGGGTGTTATAATTGGTAATATTTCTTAAAGGCAATAAACTTAGGCCTACCCCAACAAGCGTATGTCTGTCCCCTACCTCAGACGATTTTCCCCTGCAAATTTGGGTGAGATTATCTCCAACCATCTGGCCTCCACCTTTGGACTAAGACATTCTCTCCAATAGGTATATACTGTATTATATTTTACCCCACCCCCTTTTATTTTTTATCAAACTACAAAGTGTATCTTGCTCTTAGAAAACTGTTGTTTCCATCTAAAAGTGGCCAAATACTGTGTATTCTAATTATAGTAACAAAATACAAACATATATAGAATATATAATATGACCACTTGGACCAAACAACATTCCAAGTTATTCGATGGTACAGGAATACGCAAGGCATCACAGATAGCATTGCCTGGATTTTTATCCTCATTCAAGTGTTTAAGTAACCTAAAGAAGAGTTAGTGTTAGGGCCACTAACAGATAACATTACCTGTTAGTGTCCCACAGGTAAATTTCTGTCTTGCCCTGGGATCTAACCCAGGATCCCCAATTATGGGGTTACCACTTATATAATATAATCCCTATGATTTCCAAAATATTTATTTCATTACAGTATAACAGTTCATAAAAACCCACATTAGTACACCGTACTGTATATTTGATATAAAAAAATAAAATATAGTACACAGTATAATATTTATTTATTTAAAATTTTATTTTTCATAATTTTTTATACATTATATTACACACACCATCACATTGTGCTTGGTTGGCACAAAAACTTAACCAAAATAGGGAAATAAGCTGCTTATTTGTTCATTTTAATAAATAAAATATAACAAAATAATATTCCAGGGTTGAGTACGTTTGTATGTGTATGCCGAGCTATATCTGTACCTGTGTGCATGCACTCATGTAAAAACAATGTCTGCATGTAAGCCATACATACATATATAAAACTCTGGCTTTAGACTGATGGATTGTAGTTTGGTCTTACATGCAGGTTGGCACTGTCATGTCATGACCCTAGAATCATTAATAAAAAATATATCTGGGAGCTGCCCATCCTATGGAGAAAGGCAAACAGGAAATCAGGAATTACCATTTTAAGTAATTTATTTAGCATTGTATATACCACCAATGTCACCAAAAATAGTCATAAAGATCAATTGATGCGAATATATATGACTTAATACCAGAAACAAAAGATTTTGGTAAAAAAAAGACACACACATTATTGGGCCATGATTCTACCAATTTGATTTACACTTGAGTTGCATAAGAATTCTGTTTAGGAAAGAATAAGAAAATAATATCACTCAAAGCTACATTATAATAATTTATATTTTAATGTTTGACTATAAAGGCAACTTTAACCGAGCCTACACTTAGTAGGCTCGGTTATCATATGATATCTATGATCCAAGAAAATGATTATCGACCAAATGTATTATCAAAATGATTTTACACCAATTTAATGTTAGAATATATTCATGTGTATTTTTATATTCAAAGCTTATGGGAGTTTCCAAAACATATAATCAGCAACAGGTAACATAAAACAATAATATTTTTTTTAGATCCACATTATGATAAAGAAAAATCCATAAAATATCCTAAAGTAAATATATATTATATTTTATGTATATATATATATATATATATATATATATATATATATATATATATATATATATAAACAATAAAGTCAAATGGCATAAGTTAAACCAAATGAATGCAATACAGGTCAACAACAACCTACTATATATATATATATTCTTGTGCACAGAAGCTAATTAATGAAAAGGATGACCGAGTAACCACTGAAGAATTTGAAACAAGAATAATGGAGTAATGATACCAATACAGAATATGGAAAATGTGCAGTTAATTTAAAAAACACCTATGATTTATATATTCATCCTGCTAGTTTTAATAGGCACTTGCTTAAGTCTAGCTCTTAATAAAATAATTGCTACTTGTTTAAGAAAGGGCTGAATGCCATTTTATCTTTAGATATGCAATATTATCAGTTCTTTTATTCAAACACTAAACAAATTGTGTTTCAAATGTTTTATCTGGATGAAAATTGCCTTTACATACATACTGTACAAAGATATCCATCCATTTATATTTTAAGAATATGCGAACTTCCCTCAAATTTCTCTTTTATCCTGTTGACTTGAGCAAATAAATTGCAATGCCTTGTAATTTTCAATTTACTGCATTAATAATGTATTTCAATAAGATTTTTTGTATCAAACTTTACTAATGGCCAGGAAAACTTGTTGGTGAAGCAAGACCTTCTATGATTCTATTACTTGACTTGTCACTGTCCTTTAAATTACAATTAATTTCACGTAATACCACAACACAGAGCTATTGCACTTACTCTCCCTCAACATGAATGTTGGGGTTATGATGTGGGTCAAGTAAAGGATCATTATCTGAAGCTCCATGTCCTAAGTATGACAGAACTACTAACAAAGTAGCACAAGCTAGCAATACTAAAACTATAATCATACGTCGTCGTCCCCCTATCAAACTTTGATGGTGACGTGATGGTGGACGACTCATAGTTCTGCAAGAAAAATATAATATTTATTAGTTGTTACTGTAGTTTCAAACTCGTTCATTGATGTCTTTCACATTCATACTTACTGACAAGTGTTGGCAGACAGAGGGCTACTAGATTTCAACCCAAGCAAGTACAAAGGAAGATAAGAAAGATGAAAAAATTAGGATGAAGTTACACCATAAGAGGTAGGCAACTTTAAAGTATTAAAACAAGAGACTTGGGAGTAGATATAATACAGTACTAGCACTAGAATTGCATGTAAATTAGATAACACCAGCAGCATATAGGAACCCAGCAAACATAAGGAACAGTGCTTAAAAACCTACACAATGACACTTTCAAGACGATTTACAGACTCTACTTTAGATGAATTCTAGAAAATGCGGAATTGTAATGGATTCTGAATTGAGTGAAGCAGGTCTGAAGACTCATAATATAAATCTGCATTTAGTGATGCACAAAAAAGAAGATTTAGTAAGTTGTGACATTTGCAGCAAGGTTAGTGTCCAGAACTATGAGCTCCAAGCTAAGAAGGCAGTTCAAGAGAGGCGAATCTAATACAGTAACTCTGGAAAGAAAAAGGACAAGAGGTGAGCAAGATCTAGCAGACCACCAGGTGCTTCTGTAGCATGAGCCTGGTCAACAGACAACAAATATAGAGGCTATTGATACCTCTTTCATCTACAAAATAGTGTTTCCATGGAAGACCGAAGCCAACTGGTGTACTAATAAATCTGCAAGATTGATGTGAAACTAGTTTGGATCTTGCAACTATTACTCAATCTTAGTTTTCTCTTCACCATGAAGATGTAGCAAAATGGCAATAAAATATACACACAAAAAAGTACCTTCTCTATATTCTATAGTTCCAACAACAATAAGCTACAATGTGACACATTAAAACTTACCTCCACCATCTGCCAAACCATTCAATGGCAGATCTTCTCTTATATTTATTTTCATCATCATCAACATCTGCTTTGTCATTTACAGTAAGTCGTGTTTCAGAGGAAGATCCTTTGCGTGTTACACCACTGCCAGTAGGATGGTGAGTCTCTCTAAACTGAGATGGAGTGATAGGAGGGTCTTCAATGGCAGTAACTCTCACATTAGTGCTACCACTGTCACTAACAGTGCCTCCACAGCTCTTACTACTGCCTGGAAATTGTATACAATACAATACATTAAAGAGCTTACTGTATTTGCATTAGATTAAAAGTTGATTAGATAAAACCTGCAAAAAACTTTTAACTTTTTTACGCCATTATTATTCTTCTGTACAAAAAACAAAAAACTGAAAAACTGCATTTATAGCTGTCATGAGAGAAGGAAGGTTTCCCAATATCAGATAATTGAAACTAGGGTAATGGAATTTTTTTTATGAATACACAAGATGTGACTGACAAAATTAAGAATTTGTGCAACTGCAGTTGCGTGTAAGTAAAGGACAAAGAGTGGCTGATATATGGAAGCCACAAATCAGAAAGAATCACATTATATGACTCAAACACAAACCCAGCTAAGGAGTAAAATCAGAACAGAATATGAATCTAGGTCAGGAACAACATGCACACTAAAACACAGCTACCTGGTCCTTGTTTCTGGTAGCCCTGCACAAGTTTCAGGTTCCTAATATGATCTGAAGGCTGAATGGTACCAGCATACAAGCTCAATGAAGCTACTAAGGGTTAACCCAGAAAAATATTTTGTTTGTAAACAATGCACAAGCAGTGGCAAATGAACAAGATTGAGTGGAAACAGTTCTGACACAACTGAAATACAGTACTGTTGTGGATCTCACGCCAATGTGTGACTGTAATAATTTTCCTGTCATACTATCATTGCACAAAGGTGGGCACCTATTCCTTGAAAAGTGAATGGACCCCAAGCCTGGTCCTTACCTCAGAATTAACCCAGAGTCCAGGTCATGGTCCTTTCGAAAGAAAAGAACTTTGACCAACTCAGTACTTGGTCCTTGCTTCCATGCAAGTGATAAATGCAGTGATGGTGGCAATGCTATATAAAAGGAATCATTTGGGAGGAAAAACATACATGAAAATGTTTCGCCTTCGCATTACAGTATAATGTAATTCTTACCGTGATCATGAACTCTAGTTGTTGTGTCTATATTGCGCGTCTTAGTTTCTCCCATAGGTTTTGCCTGTGTAACTGCTGGTCTTGAATGGATGGATGACAAATGGTCACTGCTGTCCATTTCAGCAACAGTGGTACCATTGGCTGCACTCCAGTCAGGTTCATCACTGTTCCCAGCATTTGCTATCTGTAACAGATTATTCATTGGTATTAAGCTAATTATTTCAAGTGTCAGTTTACTTCCAATTATCAGGATTAGTTAAGACAATCTCATCTGTCTTAGATGAGATTGTCTGAGATTGTCTATCTTGGATGAGATTGTCTACTGAGCCTTCTACTTGGCTCAGTATTAGTTATTTATTTTCACTAATTTTAAAGAAAATTATGTCAAGGGAATTTAAAAGCTCCTTTCTGAGTGGCCCCTATACATGAAAAGCACTTTTATGAGCCATTTACTATACTTGAAACAAATTAAAGTCAGGGGTTTAAGGAACAATATCTGAAAAGCCAACAGGTAAATAATATACAAAAATTATATTATATTGTCAGAAAAACTACTTCAATCTAGTTATCATTAGTACATAATGAGCTCTTTAGCTTTGAGAATAAGAACTAGTTTGTTATTTTTCAGTGGTGACTTAGCGAGTGCCAGAAAAGTAAAAGCATAATGACATGAAGTTCAAAGATTAAATATTACAACATATCATAGTCAATACATCAATTGATATGTTTCCCCTGGTCAAATAAATTGAAGCACACAAAGAAATAAAAGAATATACGGTATATTACCAGAGGCAGTCCAAGTCCCGTTCGCGCCCATGGGAAGATGGCAAGAGTCTCCCTTAACCGCTCAGCCACAGGAGAGACATAATTTGCAGGAGGGAATATTGCCTCAGAACAGACTGGGCATTTATATCCAGCAGGTGCTGTGTGAGGTGGTAATCGACTTGCCCAGTCATTTAGACACTCCTTGTGAAACAAATCTGGATAGAAAACAGGCTTATTAGCAATTTAAAAATACAATATGATACTGTAGACATAGATTAAAATTAGTGTTTTAAATTATGAATTTACAATAAAGCTTTAAGTGATATGATATGCCCTTTCTTGAGCAATACCTTAGTAGCTTTCCTCTGCTTCATGTCATTGGCCCCAGAAGGACAAGCACAGTACCTTTTCAAAATATCTTGTTCCCTCTGTAAAGGAGTCTGGAACTCAATGGTGAGCATATTCATACCTCAATCCATTTCAAGATATGCATCAGAACACAGTGGCACACAAGCCTGGTCTAACTGGCTCTTCTTTGAACCAGCACAAGTTACTACAGTACTCCCTAAGTGAGCCACAGTACTGTACTTCAAACACATTCATGATATACATCTAGAAAGCACTTAAACTTTGCTTTTATTCACCGCTAATATTTGTTCTCCTGACATAACTATTCCAAGGTAGAACAAATCTGATACCTTATCAAACAGAAGATTGTTTATAAATTTATTCTAAAAACACAGAAAATAATTACCATAACAAACAAGTCGTATACACTCTCCTGCAGCCAACTGGTCATCACATATCCGACACACAGGATTATAGTCACTGCCATCTAGCCAATGAAGGTACGACTGGACAACACACTAAAAATAATAATTAAAGTTATTTTCATTGCCTAGAATGATTTACATTGCATCCAGCTATTCCTAGTTCTTTAAGCCAAGGAAATCCCTCACTATACAAAAATTATTATGAAATATTTGTATGAGCTCCTGAACTGGAGCTCCTTTTGGAGCTTCAGTTCATTGCTCATGATCTGACATGCTGGTAATGAGCCAAGAAATTAAATCACTACATAACCCTTAGCAAAGATTAAACAGGCTCATACGTTCTAAAGGTACTGCTTTACTTTTGAACACATCACAGAAGATTTGAGATCCTTTGGCATTGAATGCTTTACCTTACATAGCATATCTAAAATCTATGGGCCCTGGATGTGTCATATAGTGCAGTCCTGGGGCCTATATTCGCTGGTAATCAACAACATGGCATAATAGATGATGTGTACATCACTTGGTCAGTTAGGTTAAGCACAATCTAGTCTGGCTAGCCCTGGATGGATGACCACATGGACAACACTTCCCTGACTAGGGAGATCTCAATAAACATTTTCCTTTTTACAACAATTGTATACAGGCACTGTACTTGTATACAATTACTGCTAGTCAGTACATACAGTACTGTACTGTAATTATTCCCATAATGATAGGCATATTTTAGTCTTCAGTTATTATTGTTATTCATGTTATATACAATACAGTGTATATTGTTCTCTTGATTTTTTATACTTATTCATATCAATTACCATAATGATGTGCAAAATCATTCATTCATTATCATCACCTTGTGCCTCACTTTCATTGGGTTAGGGTGGAACAGACATGAAAACAACAAGAAGCTGAATAATATTTTACTGCCTATAGATTACCACAACACTACCCCATCCCCTCGAATTCAGGACATGCAACATTGAGAGTACTGTATCACCAGTTTCATGTTTGCCGTCAGGTAGTGTGCATATTCCATGGGCTCAAATATCACATGGAATAAAATGTCCAAATGTCACAAATGTCCAAACTACAAAATTGTTATTGTATGATCTGCATGTTAACATGCTAATTTTGTTAGGGGGCTAACAACCAATGTTGTTACATAAAACCTCACTACTCATTATAAAAATCATGTAAAGTACTGTAAATTTCCAAAACAAGTTAAAGCTTTATAGATAGGCTACACAGAAAATTAAATGGTTAAAAGTGAGGACGTTGATAATGGCAGAAAGAAATCTTTTTTTATATTTAAAGTACTGAATTTAATGATGCTGAATTTAGCAGAGCACCTACTTTAGTACAGTACTTGTCTAAGTTTCTTGGTGCTTGTTTGTAGGTGAATGCTCAAGGTGAGGTTAGGTCAGGCAGTGATATATCCTTGAACAGTTAGAACATCACTGTCTGTATGATAGCATTATACTAATGCAAATTAAAACAGAAAATATTGTCATAAAATAGAATTTTGACCTTTATAATTATTTAGTACATATATTAATCACAATAATGTAAAATTTAGTACATATTAATTAATTTATTTTATTTATTTATATATACACTGTACAAGAGTTCTTACATTCTGTACAGTCACAAGCATGCATAGTGTTTCAGGCAAGTCTTTAATCCTAATTTCCCCCGGAATATAACCCATCAAATCATTTAACAACCAGGTACCCAGTTACTGCTGGGTGAACAGAGGCTACAGTTAAGGATTGGTGCCAAGTAAATCCTCCCTGGCCAGGATACGAACCCAGGCCAAAGCGCATGCGAAGCGCCGAGCGAATATTTAACCACTGCGCCATGGGGACCACAAATCATAACAATGTAAAAAAAAATATTCATTAGCACGACTGCAGATAAAATGTAAAGACACGACTGCAGATCAGCATGTCCAGACATTGTTTGCTCCCTGAAGTTCTGTTGCACATTGTAGGTGAGAATTGTGTACCATTGTTACAAATATAGAGGTACACCAAGAGGAAAGTCTGATCCATATCAGGGATTAAAACATTTTATAAAGTCATATAGCTGCTCTGTAAACAAGGAGCAGCATCCCGCTGCCTTTTCCCATTGCAAATGCTCAGTCAGCCAGGAGCAGCAGGATGAAAAACCCTGTTTCTAGTTCAACCCTTCACCAGAGAGCTAGTATCCATATGATAAATCTCGGTTAATACAACATTCATACTTACTGTTGTATGCTCCTCAACAATACACTGCTCACAGACATTGACCCTGTGCTCAAAACAAAACTGATTGGTTACTTTTTTCTTGGAACATTTACAAAGCCCCATTTTGACGGAGTTTTGTTATGATCTGCCACGTCCGGGGTCGGTTATTATAGTAATACTTGTGACTACGGTACGGCCATCGTTGGTAGAACAATTTGTACTCTGGAAGTATTGTATTTTAAGATACTGTACAACGAATGTTTTAAGGATTAGATACTCACATCCTGCAAAATTAGGTTAAATATAAAATCATAAAATATTTATAAATAAAATTATTTGTACACGATCATATCAATTGTATATTTACGTTGAAAAAAGGAAAGCAATATATACAAAATGTTAAGAATAAGAAAGTTTATAATTAAACTTCCTTATTCTTAATTCCTTTGTATATAGCTTTCTTGTATCATAAAAATACTTATTAAACTATCTAGAACAGTTAGAAAGAATATATGTAAAAAATATGAAGCTTGAATAGCAGGATAAGTTTTTCTTTATTAACAAGCTTAGGTATACACAGCAATGTGCCGCTACACTATTCTTTACAAAAGATTAAACAGTGTAGATAAAAAACTAGCTATAAGTTCATCTTATATTCCCATCCCACAGGATGGTTAGTCATACATGTCTTGTACAAGAATGTAAGAACTCTAATGTGTAAATATTTAATTCAAAATGATCTGCTACCAGAAATTTTAGCCAAATATCCAGTTTGCAAACTGTAGGTAGTAACTAAGTGACTGTAACCTATCCACTGCTGCCCATTGAATGGGGAGCGGTGTGCAGGACAAACATATCAATTGTGACACTAGCTCTTCACATTTGTCAGTTGCTTAATTTAGAAACTGTACTTGTGGTCGATCTCGAACCCATTTATGATGTGACGACTTATACTGAATTTTGTAACTAGCTCATCAAAATTGTAACTTGCTTAGCTAAATGAATTGTGGGGTTCAGAGCCCATTATATGTCTCTGAAACCCTTTTCACTACCGCCCACATGATGGGTACGGGGTGCATAATAAATGAACTAATCTAACTTGTATATATAAATAATTAAATACAAAATACATGGAATCATATGAGAAAATACCTGCCTCAATACAAAAAAAAATCAATTGCTAAACAGCAGTTTCATGATAACAAAATCACTATATAAATTTTTGTTTGTGTAGTCAGCCAGAATAGTAATTCTTAATTACGCCATTTATTTACGATGAAAAATATCTGTGGCTTGGCAGCTTACAACAGAAATTATAATTTCTTGACAGTTATAATGCCAAGGGGCATTATATACCTTCTTCCATATCTGGCTGGAAGAAGGGGACCCTTAGCCTCGGAGGAAAGCACACATAACGCATTAGAGGGGATGTTTAGGTCCCCTCCAATTCAGTTTCTATGTACTTTTCTCCTACCAACCCCCTTTCTTTTGTGTTTTGTTGTGCTTTATTAGATATTTAAAAGTTATAAGATGTACATTGGTTGATACAATGAGTGCTTAAAAGGTTATGGATCTCTTTAAGCTCCTCTGCTTCTGGACAAGAATCGAGGACGCAGCAGGCATTTCCACATCTGGCTGGAAGAAGGGAACCTTTAGCCTCGGAGGAAAGCACATATAACGCATTAGAATTCGAAGGGATGTTTAGGTCCCCTCCAATTCAATTCTTCTGGGTCGCCACACTGAGGCTCTGAAACAAGAAACTGGCAGCCCTTGGGTCTCTGCTTGAGCCCAATTCTTTGAGAAATCCCACGGCATTTCTACTCCAGAGGCCATGTGTCTCAGATGCTATGGGAACAAAAGTCTATTGATCTTCCAGTCGCATGTATTTGATTTTACTATTTTTCTGTATATATGTATTGGGTTGAACTAGGTTAAATTAGGTAGGTTTAAAAAAAATCCGTTGGCGAATCGTCTCGTGTACGATGTGACTTGCATCTACATTAACATCTTGAGCCAGATTCACGAAGAAGTTACGCAAGCACTTACGAACCTGTACATCTTTTCTCAATCTTTGGCGACTTAGTTTACAATTATTAAACAGTTAATGAGCTCCAAAGCACCAGGAGGCTGTTTATAACAATAACAACAGTTATTTGCGAAGTTTTCATGTTTGTAAGCTGTTTAATAAATGTAACCAAAGCCGTCAGAGATTAAGGAAAGATGTACACGTTCGTAAGTACTTCCGTAACTGCTTCGTGAATCGGATCGTCATTTTGGACCAAAACAATAACAGTCACACGTGTTGGAGCTCCGAAGACTGACCTCGCAGAGTTTGTCATTAAAATACACAGCTTACCATTCAGCAAAGCCCTGCTTGAGTGAGTATTTTCGCGAGTAAAACATCTGTGAAAACTAAACTAAGAAATCGAATGGGGCTAGATAGAGCTTCTGAGACAATGGGGGACTTGTTGCTCAACATTAACAAGCTGCCCTAAGTCACGAGGCAGCGTGGTTGGACACACGTGTGTGTGTGTGTGTGTAGGACAGTGGACAGGAGTGGGAAACTATAGATATGACTGAGTCCAGCCACAGTGTAGAGATGTCCCGGGTTCGTTGTCGACTGAATAAAAAATCCCGGGCGGGACAGAAATGGTTGGGCGCGTTTCCTATTACCAAATGCCTTAGGTGGAAATGTAGATGTTTATCTCTCAGAATGTTTGGTAATATGTTTATTGTTTGTGATGTGTGTATATGTATGTTTTAACACGATGTACTGAACGGGATGAGAATAGCTTGAGCTACCTCATCCCTTTGTGTGCATTTTACCTCAATAAACTTATTTCAATTTCAATTTCAAATGCCCTTGTTCAGCTGGCAGTAAATAGCGGGTCCGTCTAATTACCCAAAGCTACTCAAAGCCACAAAAAGCTTCCTGGCATTACATTAGTAATGAATAAATATGATATATTTACTCATTATAATGTTGGTGGTGAATGTGGAACATGGAAAAACATATTTTTACTCTAAAAAAGTATCATTTCACAACGAAATTAGACGAAAATAAGCTGCTGATGACGCCAAAGCAACTTGACGATCCAAGCGACAATGTTGTGGAGCGACTTATCCAAGACACATTGTTGCCTAAAGAGTATTTGCTGGCATATCAGCCTCCTGTACCTACCTAACCTAACTAACCTACCCAAACATAACCTAACAAATCCTTACCTATCCGAACCTAAGTTAATATAACCTGTACACAACAATATATCTTGACTAAGTCGCTCCACAACATTGTCGCTTGGACCTTCGACTTGCTTTGGCGTCACCAGCAGCTTATTTTTTTCTAATTTCATTATGAAATGATACTTTTTCAGAGTAAAAATATGTTTTTCTATGTTCTACATTTAGCACCATTATAATGAGTAAATATAGCTCATTATAATGTTGGCATATCTTTTCTTAAGCGAGTTTAGGCTCTAGTGATTATTCGTAAGTTGCTTACACTATCCACAAGCACGTGATGTTATTAACGAGGAACTCGGTCATATTGGAAGTATTGATTTATTTGTTTATATATTTTGCTACTGCAGTTTAGCTTTGTGTCTGAGCTTATTAAAAAATATAAAATTAATGTACTGGAGAATATACTGTACTGTTATCTTGAGAGGTTATCTTGAGATGATTTCGGGGCTTTTTTAGTGTCCCCGCGGCCCGGTCCTCGACCAGGCCTCCACCCCCAGGAAGCAGCCCGTGACACCTGACTAACTCCCAGGTACCTATTTACTGCTAGGTAACTGGGGCATTCAGGGTGAAAGAAACTTTGCCCATTTGTTTCTGCCTCGTGCGGGAATCGAACCCGCGCCACAGAATTACGAGTCCTGCGCGCTATCCACCAGGCTACGAGGCCCCCTTCCACCAGGCTACGAGGCCCCCTCTGTATATGAAGACATAAAGTAATTGGACATACTGTACAGTATATTCTTTAAACAAAGAAAGTGTCTTGTACATTACATGGTTACATGATACACAGTAAATAATTAAAAAGAATGTACAAATATTGTTTTCTACTTATGTTTAGTTCAGTGTTTCTCAACCACTGCTCCGTGGAACCCAAGGTAATTAGGGGTTCTGCAAGAGATGGTGATAGTCTAATTCTAATAATTTGTAAATGTACATTAGAGTAATTTTTGTTAATTTTTCTCATTTAACCAGCATCAGAATCAAAGACATAAGTTGTTTCCTTTCAGTTGACATTGAAATCCATATGTTAATCTAATGACGACCCAGAATTATTTGAAGGATACACCCTTGGGGGTGTTATCACCTTCTGTTCAGAATGACTGGTTTAGTTATTGGATTAAAGAACTTTTGTACAGGGTACTTTATTTTTATAGGCAAGAACTCTACCAACAGGATAATCCAGACTGGTTCCCTATGGTGGGGTATGTTAGGGAGATATTCAAAATTTCATGTGGAAAATATCCGAGCAAAGTCCCCAGAGGTGTTATGTAGCATTTGCACACAATGAAGGACAGAGAGAATTAGACACACACTGATGCACTGCACTCATGTTGCAGCAAGCAGATACTGTTGAAAGTGGAGACACCATAATGCCTGCCACCTGTGCTGCTTATAACTGCGGCATAAGAAGGAGCAGAGGAGCTGGCATATCATTTCATAGGTGAGTTATTGTGTTCAAATGCAAGTTTATATGCTGTACAAACAATTTTGTTTTAACGTTACTAATTGATTGCCATTTTTTTTTTAGTTTTTGTTTAGTTTATTGGGCAGTCATTCATCCTGTGAGTCAACATATCACTAAAGCAGCATGTAGAAAAACCTAGAGTATGAAGAAGACCTACTGGGTTCGACGTGCCACTTGCATGCAGACATATGCACGGCTGTATATTAATGTTTTCAAACCCTCAAGCCTCTGTTGAATGTTTGGCTTATCAAGGTCCCACTAGCCATGGACAAGGCTGTCTGTGCAGTCATCCAACCAGTTACATGCCAGAATCAATAGTGTTAAACTTATTGACCATGTAACATGTACATCTAATTCCATTCACCTTGGCTCTAGGAGTCTCGAGTCTCGAAGGAGGATATTAGAGCCCAGGGAAATGGAATGTTTATTTCCATGGAAGTGTGGATGACAGTTTTATGTACATCTAATATTTACTTCAAGTGACAGGATGAACAATCCCGCGGGTTTTCGTCCTTTATTGGGTAGTCTTGTACATGCTGCTATGGCTGTATGTCCACTCACAGGATGAGTGGCGCTGCCCAATAAACTCGCCCCTCGTGGCAAAATTGAAAAAATGTAATATAATATTTCACCAAACCCTTTGCTTTTGACAGTTTACACAATTTAGTTAGCATTTAGTCTAATTAGCATTGATCACTTTGGGAAGCACTAACATATGAAAGTAAAAGGTGGTACTCCTTATACCACTTGATGATCTGCTCCATTTTCCAAGCTAGCTCATTCTACTGTTCCATGAGGTATGATCCCCTTGTGTTCAGTGGAAAGGATCATGCAGTGTCAGGCAGGATGACACACTGCAGTGCCTCAGGGAAAGTGTCAATACTGACCTTGTGAAGTAATTTAGTGATAGGAATTCACTGGAGAATGTGTAAACAAATTTTCTTTATCCCTGGGTAGTAAGTATTATTTTCTAATTGTTTATTCCTCCAAAGCATAAAAAATGGTTATGATTCCACTCAAAGCTGTAAAATTGTCATGGTTCTAGATAGGGAGTTGGCAGCCTTCAAGAACAGTACCTTCAAGAGAACTTCCTAACCTAAGGAAAAGATTAAAGGAAAGTTTGAGGGGGGGAATAATACCAGTTTCCTATACTGTACTGTACTTTGGAGGAATAAGCAGTTAAAAAGTTATATTTACTACCAAGGGTAAAAAAAAAGTGTAATTTATTCTAGGTATTTTTTGTTCTGATATTTTCATTTTTTTAAATCAAATCAATATTAGTACCTAAATTTTCCCTCCAGGTTTCCAATGTCAAACCCTCTCCTTTTGAAAAAATGGCTTCGTGGAATGAAGAAAGACTTCATACCAAACCGGCACAGCATTTTGTGTAGTAACCACTTTGCTGAATCGGACCTTGATCGTTCAAGGCAAACTGTACGCTTACGAGAGGGTGCTGTGCCTTCAGTGTTTGACTCGCCTTCAGATTTGCCTGAGGTCAGTATGAAATACAGTATCAAAAAGTAATATTCTGATCTCCCGACTTCTTCCTGTAGGATAAGTCGCCAGTCCTCAGCCACTTAAGCTACTTTTCTCTGTTTTTCAGTGAAATACAAATTACTTTTAATCTTCATAAATTTTTGGAAACCTTGTAATAGAATGTGACATGCTTTAGTTTGTACAGTAAAACAAAACCAAGCCTGTAGATACTGTACCTATTGTGATATTTGCTAAATTGTTTCTGCGGCCAAAGCTTTATCATTGTCCACGAGATCTGTGATTAATAGATTTTTCATATTTATTATCTGTGAAATCCTGCATGTCCATTATGATTTTTAGGGTACATTCTTGCATTACCCTGAAAATCACACATCACACTTACTGTAGCTTCTCGGTATCTGTCACACCAGTTTTATTTTCTAGTCAACTCTAGAAAATATTCTTTCATTCTCACTTTATACATCACACAGTTCATAAGAAATCATGGTAGCCACCATACACCTACCATGTGCCAGGTACTTAGAAAAGCAATTAATTATTCCATTACAATCTGTTAACAAACTTCTTTACTAGCTCTTATTTTCTTACTCATGGCCTTAACAATATTTCATTCTGCCTGTACATATGTTGCATATCAACTTTCTCTTAAAAATTTGTCACCTAACATGTCATTCCTTGTTTTTCCTAGTACCATTTAATTATTATGTTAACCTGTTTTTAGATCATATTAAAAGTATAATATTGTACTAATTGTAAAAGTACAGCTTTGTATATGTTTATACATACCTGCTTGATGGGGTTCTGGGAGTTCTTCTGCTCCCCAAGCCCGGCCCGAGGCCAGGCTTGACTTGTGAGAGTTTGGTCCACTAGGCTGTTGCTTGGAGTGGCCTGCAGGCCCACATATCCACCACAGCCCGGTTGGTCTGGCACTCCCACATATCCACCACAGCCCGGTTGGTCCGGCACTCCTTGGAGAAAATTATCTAGTTTTCTCTTGAAGATGTCCATGGTTGCTCGGCCATATTTCTTGGTTGGGACATGGTTCCCATTGTTAGTGGACATGAAGCCTGTTAGGCTTATGGAGGTCTCCTAAGACCAAATACTGTACTTACCTTCCCCAGGATACAACCCACAAGTTGCCTAACTGTTCTCTAGCAGTAACTAGGTACCCAGAGGCATCAGGTGAAAGAAGGTAAGGTAATTATGAGGAGAAACTGCCGACCCAGTATGAGTATGGGGGCATCAGGTGAAAGGAAATTGCCCAAATGTCTGTTAATCTACAAGAATTTAATCAATTTCTGAGTTTTTGCTGTGTATGGAAGGACGTTAGGTAAAGTTTTAGTAAAGTTTGGTTATATTGAGCATCTAAAATTTTGGAATGCAAAACTAGTCAGAATATATTGTATCAAGTTTTGTACATAATAAATGTTTTGTATTTTTGTCCTTTATGAAATACAGAGGAAGCTAGTCCTTTGTCATCCATTTTTGTAATTTTTTCATAGGCAAGGTAATCATTAATTCCTCATTCTGCAATACATTTAAAACTTGCATATATGTAGTGGTGTTGCTTCTTTACATGCATCTTTCCACAGGATCTTGCTACAACACAAAAACATGGGAGAGATACAGATACCAGTGCAGTGATGGGAAGAGTAGGAAAGAGAGATTATGGGAAAGCACACACGTCTGTAGCTGAAAGTAAAGAACTTGGAAAGCACCACCCTACACCGAAGTCTGGTGTACCTGTTCGTCAGTTTCTTATCAAAGATCATGCATGTGTCTTTTCTGATAAGCAGGAAGTTGAGTTAGTGAAATGCATCAAGGAAGCAGATGTTTTTTTTGATGAAATGACAACCAAGGAGACTCGGAAATTAGTGTATGAGTTTGCTTTTAAATACAATGCAATTATTCCAAATCCTCTGTGGGATTTTGATGGTTTAGTAGATGTAGCATGGTTCAAAAAATTTGTCCAGAGACATCCTAGTATATCCAGAAAAAAGCAAGTTAATTCAAACGTTATTCGAAAAATCGGTTTCAATTCTCGTAGTATTAATTATTTCATAAATACTGTACCAGATAAGATGCGTGCAGTCAGCAGTAATAAAAGCAAGTTTATAAACAAAGAAAACCCATTTGAATGTTATAGCAGTTTAGAACATAAGTGTAATGCTATTCCAGAAAACCACACATTAAACAATCTTTATGCTTCCAAGAATGACATCCATGTTAAACATGAATGTCTGTATAATAATACCTCTGATAAGGTAGCAAGAGAGAATGTTTTTATTAGAAATGTGTATCAGGGTAAGAAGAGTGAAAATTGTGAAGGTATTCTTAATGAAGTTAATGCAGAGAGAAAAGGTTTTGTAATGGATAATTGTGCATTTGTAAAGGAAGAAAAAGATACAATTGTAAAAGAAGAGAATTATATGTTATCTAGTGATGATGCATGTGTACAAAAATATGGTCTTTTAAAAGAGGAGGATAACTTACTTTTTTGTAATAAAATCTCTTGTAAAAATGAAGTACTTGTAAAAGAAGAGTGTGTATTTATAAAAGAAGAAATGGATGATTTTGTATAAAAGAATATGTATGCTTTTGTTAAAAAATATTGGTCTACATTGAAAAAAAAACATTGAGGTCTTCCTCTGGTCATCAAAAAATCTCTCTAAAGTGTTTTCTCAGTCATCTACTATGTTCCCTTCTCATACTACAGTATACCTATCTAACTTAGGTGCATGGAGTTCAGCTATTGCAAACTACCTCAAATCCATCATCACTCACAAACAAAAAATTAAGCTATGAGAAATATAACATGTGTCTCTTCAGAAAACACCCAGCCCCTCTTTTTAAATACTTAACTATGCTAAACATTCAGTTAATCCACATACGGTGTATTCTCTTGTCCTACTTACACTTCCTAAATGCTAATCCTGTTTTGAAACTTTCTTAATTGCTACAATAGAACTCCATAAGCATAATACCTGAAATAAGTATCCGATATTCTTAGTCAGGCTAAATCTATGAAAACATGCCAGTGTATGGAATTGTCCAACCTATACTTTATTCAGAAGTTGAACTAAGAAATGCCAAATTTCATCTTGATAGTACAGTACTTTACCTTGTGCTATTAACTCTCACAGTATCTTGTTCTACTCACTTGCCCAGTATATTATAATGTAGAAATGCAACTTCATCATTATAATATTATTTTCTTTATACTGATGTATTTATTATGTGAATTCAAATTGTTACAATGTACCTATTATTATGCTTATTTGTTAGCTAAGGACATGCCTGAAATGGTATGCATGCCAGTTGCTTTGCAAGAATGTGCTTACCAATTACCAACATAAATACTTAAATAAGCCATTGTATCTTCTTGTACATGAATAAATCAATCAATAAAATAGTGTTGTTTGTGTGACTGCTGATTCTGCATGATTCAGTGTATGGCATGGATAAGCTGTTTTTTAAAGTCATTCTCTTCTTCCTGATCTGATGCAATCACATCTCATGAATGTGGAAAAACGGTATTGGCGATGAAAAATTATGTAAAAATATAGTGAACATCCCACAGCTCAACAGCACTTTACTGAATAACTTTCTTTTGTACATGTATTAGTTTGATATTTTACAACATGTACAACTAATGAATGGAAGTTGATTGACAGTGTATTTTATTATTTATTCATAACAGTACAAAATAATGAAATACAAAGAAAATAAATATTTAATTTTAAATTTGTTTTATTTAACAAAAACAGTTATAAATTTAGATATCATTTTAAGGCATAATTTATGTTAATACTCTCTCCTCTAGGGTGCTACCTTGATGTGGTGAGGGGGAGCTCTTGTGCACTACCCTCAGACAGGTGTCAGTGGCTTCTGCTCCTGTCTCCTGTGACAATGCATGAGTGAAGTATATCCTTGTGGGTTCACCACCCATGTTTTTACTGTGCATGGAGACCGCTGTCCGCTCAGCCGCCGGCTCCTATGGTGCTATGTACCGTAATCTGTTTGGCCCTGCTATGTGGCCTAAATATTTTGATATCTTCCACAAAGACCTTACCTGCCTTGATTTGCAAATACACACATACCATGGTGACACTGGATGCTCGTGTTATGTTTTAAACCCATCCAGACTGGTGCCCATATTTTTTGAGGCCCCTTCTAAGGAGATCACCTCTTAGCTGCTCTCACTTTGGTGAGACCATGGGTTTGGATCTCTAAAAGTGTCCAATTAAATGCCAGTATCGGTACAATCATTCTCCCACCCCATGTTGCGATGGGGAACAAGAAACTAAGGACTGCCACGAGGATATTAAATACATCCTCAAAGCCCAAGGTTATCCTATCCTGGTTGATATGGTCACTCAACCCCCTCGCGGATGTTGTCATCGTCCTCCCCTTAGTGGTTAATCCCTGATTGATTGGTTGATGAAGATTAAGCCACTCAAGAGGTGGCACGGGCATGAATACCCTGTAATTAATTCCTGCACAGCGCACCTATTTTATATGACAACCCTCTGATGGGCACCTGTCTTTCCGATGCACTGCTAATATTTTGACGGTTTGTCTTATCTGACATTCACCTATTGAAATTGGCCAAACACTCATTTTTCTCCTTTGCAACTTTACTGTGTCATACAAAACAGTTTTATGTTCAAGCAGGAATCTAGTTAGCAAGGAACTGGTATAATAATTGTCTGTGTATAAAATGTGGAATTGTCTAGCAGTGGAAGTGAAGGGAACTATCAGGAGAAAGCGCCATGCCATTACGACTATATAGCACTTGGTCCAGTGGGTGTCATCAGCGTTTTTATCACACTGCCTGAAAAACCGTGAGTTCGTCCTTGGTAATGCTTACGTCAGTGCCACACTAAAGTACTGTATAAAGTTTATGACCATTCAAAATTACACGGAACAAAAAATTTGAGTCCAAATGTGTTGCATCTTTAGGAATGTTTGCCCATACCAAGCAGGTATCAAGCAGGATGTACTGCTTGAAATTAACAAGTCCTTTGAAAAGCACAAGTGATTTGTCTATCATCAGTTTCTGACCTGGTACACAGAAATAAATATATATATAAATAAAATAAAAATAAAAATCTTTGTACTTTTCATTCAGGTCACTGAACACGGGCCTCAAATCCCACTGTCTATCGTTTGCAGTCTGTTTATCATTATTCTCAAAATGAATACAATCAAGAATTAGAATACCTGTAGTCAGACTTGTATCTCCCGAAAATTGGGGGTTGGAACAAGTGTCGTTGTTCCTATAATCCTGGACGAGGTGCTGCTCATGTTTCATCATACATAAGGCAAGAAATACATTTTGGCTACAGTGGTGCTTTTCTAGTGATTTCGTACATTGGAAATTATGTTGCAGTTACTTAAATTTCCTGGAACCCCTTGTTTGGGATTCCACAAAATCCCAAATACTCTGACTCTGAACTTGAACTTGGGGGACTCTGAAATTGTTTACATAAACTTTGATTTATGTAAACAATGTTTACAGCACCTTGCGAAAGGATGTAGGTTGCGTTCCAAAATTTGGTTTTAATACACTTGTCATATATTGGGTTTTCCTTAATCTAAATTCAAGCACTACGGCATTGCAGTAAGTTTTTTCATTCTAGGCAGTCTGAACACAACTCAGCCAGAAGCACCACCACCTCTGATCTAACTCTTCCGTCAAGTTCAAGTATGTTTATTGAGACAAGAAAGAAATACATCTCAAAGGGACAGAATAGCTTAAGGTATTTCTACCCCCTTAACTCTTCCGTCAATCTCACAACATAGCCAGCAGTAACATCACCTCTTACCAGCCACAGTTCCACCAACTGTGATTGGTCTGCCGTCACCGGAACTTTTATTTCAATTTCAATTTCCACGACGCTATTGTACCATGCATCAACCACGGCTCTTACATCTAGTTACCACATTGTGTGTTTAGTGTGTAAACCTGTCTTAACGTTACCAGTATTTAACATCAGACATTGCAGATTTAACCCATATTTTAAAAAGAGGAAGTATCTCTTTATTTTTCTGTAGCGTGTGAGCATATAGTGTGTGTATTTTCTCTGGCCATGGCACTGTGATTGCTCTTAATGCCACTACTACTTCAAAGCTAAATATAACCTAAATTGCTATATTATAGTTCTGCAGTGTAGATGATTGTGCGAGTATTTTCCCAAGTAATTGTGTCAGCAGTAAAACCAGTTTTTGTGCTTCTTGGGACGACAATTGATAGGACAGGCGATGTAGGTCCTCTCTCTGCGGTATCTGTTGCGGTAAGATCTCTGTCCCACAAAAGTGAAGTTGACTCTCTCTGATGGAAAAGGCAAAGATTTCCCGAACCTCTTGCAAGTATAGGAGTCGTGTACAGTGGCATTGAGACGAGCGACAGGCCACAAGTACAACTGGTGTACAACAGGGGAAGAGAACACATGGAAAAAATTATTATATATATACATATATATATGCGAAGAATAAATATATATAGGAGTTTTCAGATATATATATATATATATATATATATATATATATATATATATATATATATATATATATATATATATATATATATATATATATATATATATATATATATATATATATATATATATATATTTTATTTATATTAAAGTTTTTTTGTTAGCTTAGTTTTAGCAAAAACTTATTCTCTCACCTAAAACAATAATTTGCTACTTTATATGATTTAACATAATTACTATAATAACTATAGAGAGTGAGTATGTGATGAAGTGATCACCCCAAGGTGAGTGATGAACGAGCGAGAGGAAGTATATATATACCTTAAGTATCTCCTGGTCGTCGAAGGGGCCCAGGCCCTGGCAGAGGGCGCGAGTTCGCACGGCGTGCGCCGCCTCCTGGTGCCAACTGTTGCACCCGCCCCACATCCCCGCCAACATGGGCACTGAATGGAAGAGGTTGTCACGCATCACGTGATAACACTGTGGAAGGAAGACAGTCACGCATCACATAGTAACTGGGAGAGGACACTGTAATACGGCTTAGTCTCGTCGCTGCTCTTAATACCAACAACATGATCCATGTTTTGGTTCATTTATTCATCCCATGCCCATCCCGTGGGGGGTAGTGGATAAGGTTACCGGGGCTCACTCAGGAACTGATTCCCCAAATTCTATTAGCGAAGTAAGTTACAGTCTTGATAAGCTAGTTCTATAGTTTAATGTGTATGTTGTAATTCATGATAAGTTACTCTCAATTTAATATATATATCATGAACATATTTATTTATTTGAACGATATACTTCGCTTCACTGTTATGGGGTAGATAACTAGGGCTCGAGCAGCGGCTCGAGACATTTCCCCAAGAATGTGAAAAAGTATTGTGGTGGGTGTGGAGGAGGACATGAACACTTGAATTATACGCTCTGAGAAAATTAAACAATAATAAGATCAAAAAAAAAAATAACAATACGGTATATTATTAATTGGTGTTCGCCAATCAATTGGCGGATTTCGATTTTTTTGTTGGCGGATTTGAAATTTGTTTGTTTGCAGATTTGGATATGTTTTGTTGGCCGATTTGGAATTTTGTTTTGGCTAATTTGGATTTTTTTTAGTTGAATAATATTTTGTGATTCAAAGTCTGCTCTTCAAGCAATTGTAAACTTCTGGAAGATCGACAGCAAGAACTTCCTACGAGCAATTATATATGACCTAATCGCTGCACAAAGTAAAGGGTTTCGAATCTCCATTGTATTGACACCATCACACATAAATATAACCCATCATAATGAGACAGACATTGCAGCTAAATAAACGTGTAACAAAGATGAAGTTGAATTAGACCTAGGTATCCCCATCTCTGCTGTCAAGACTATATTGTTCCAAACACTCAGGTTTGATAGGAGAGAAATTACTGACTACTAACGACCTGAAAGCACCAGTATAAAAAACAATTTGTTCAGATCTGAAACCTATGCTTATGGGCAGCACAAAACGTCCACCAGACTGTGCGAGATCTACTTGGTCCACCGGCCTTGGTCCACTACTGAGACTTGGTCCACCACTGAGACTTGGTCCACCGGCCTTGGTCCACTGGCCAAGAAAAGTGGGGAAAGTGCATGTTCTGCGAGGACGTACCGTGCCTGAGGACAGCCACTGGTTCACGGCGTCCACCTCCCGCTGTAGGATGGGAGAGTCGGTGTCCCGGATTACGTAGCGGTCCACCAGAGCGTCAGCCATCACCGCGAACCTCCACACCCGCCCCGTCGACCCGCTCACGTCACCCAACACTGGAAGTGAGAATGCAGTGTGAATTATGGAGGTACTGAATGAGAGAGGGAGGGAGGGAGGGAGGCAAATAGGCGAGGCGAATGGAGCAAGGATGGTCAGATTCACGACCAAAGATCACATTCACTCCAAAAATTCTACCACTTACGAGCTACTTATGCCCGTGCCACCTCTTGGGTGGCTTAATCTTCATCAATCAATCAATCAATCGGTGGACAGAACGATAGAGGAAATGGAATGAAGAGGTTGCTATGACCCAGTATATACAGTATATTATTAATATACACTGTGTCCTAACTTCATAAATAAATCCTATAATTATTGGCATTAATAAATATAATGTCATTAAAGTTTAAGTTTAAACATGTTCTTGTAATAAGTGACAAAATATATCTTGTCATTATATCGGTGTATGTAATACATGTCCATATGAAAGTCGGACTATACAATATGTCAAGGTTTTGTTTACATGTCTGGCGCGAGTTAAACTAGTTAATTTTTGAGCCGAATTCTGACTCTCTGCACCTATTTTCATTTTCAAATTACGACTTTTTATTTTTTAACTGCCTGTCTGTGTGTTGGCCAGCTCTAGTCAATGTCTGGATGCGTTATATTTCTGGGCAGCCAACCAGGTGGTTGGTTAAACAAGGTGTATTGATAGTTTAATTGTTTCAATTTGTTAACTGCTTACAGAACACCTGCATTTATTCCCGTATAGTAACAATGTGTTTATTAGTTTATTATTAAGTAAACCATGAGAGGATAGTAAGTTCAGCACAGTTGGTAATAACCTAATGTTATCTCTGGGGCTGCCCTGGTGTCTCTCCTCACAAGTCTGAGGGAATTCGATTGAGGCAGGACATTATTGTTGAGCTCTAAAGACAAGTTATATATTTTCATAGTATGCAGAGTAAGGTAAGAATATAGATTTATTGTGGATATGGTATCATTATGTTATCAGTGTATTACATTAATTTCAAGTACATTTTGTGATTTCAAGTTACTTTAAGTATGTTTATTGAGACAAGAAAAAAATACATCTCAAAGGGATAGAGTAGCTTAGGCTATTTCTACCCCCCAAAGTGACATATATGTCCGTGTGGGGGACTTTGACGTTTGCCAAGTCATTTGGCACTCTAACTTTTTTCAGTGATTACTGACTTTGCCAGTCCTCGGAGATTTCGTTTTTGAGTGAGTCCCAATGACTAGGTTTGTTAAGGTCTAGTAACTTTTGCCCAGTACTCTAGATACTTTAACGTTGTGGAGTCCAGAAAGGCTTTGATATTGATAGTCCTTAGGGACTTTAAAGTTTGGATAAAGTTCACAATGATTCCAATTTAATCTCGTTACCGTAGACGCACATTAACTGTAGATTAGTGTATCAATGTTACTATGTCTTATAAAAACAAATCTCGTAACTAGTTTAACTTAACAGCATCTAGTCTAAACCTAGTGTACAAAAGTTGTTGAGTTTCGTGTACCTTAAGCTTGACCTGTTTACCTTAGTAGCACCTATAGGTGTAGTTTGAAGTACCAATGATTACCATGGTTCATGTAACTGTACATATGTTAATATTTGTGTTACTAGTGCTTGCCATCGAGTAAACTGGTGCTTCTGTTTCCATAGACTTTCCATATCCCTAGACTAATTGATTGAAGATGTAATTTACTTGAGGCCAGGTGTGCGTAATACTGAGAATGGGGAGTCTACACCACGAGCCTTACTCGGGTTTATAACATAGGTACAGGATGAGAGAGGAGAAAGAAAGAGGAGAGACAGAATAAGAGGGGGATATAAATTAGGTAAATTTAGATTCATGAAAGATCTAGGTAAAGACCTAGGTTTACCAGACCTCACCTGGTAGTTGTCTGACGTTACATAGGTCAAGATGGGGGTGATGGCAGGCCAGGGAGCAGGCCCAGTCCTGCAGGGTTCCAGTACTGAGGTCTAGGTACACCCGGACGGTCCACCCGGGGTACATCTCGCCTACCACTGGTAACAGCTTCTTCAACCCCTCGTAGTACTCGCTGGGAAATTGACCGTACACTGAAAAGCTCACTACCTGTATGAGAATCATTTGATTTTGTTTTCATATATATATTTTAGGCTTTCATTGCATGCTAATTGCTTCGTACATGTTGTATGGTATACATTGCACAATATTATCTAAAGCTTAAGCTGACGAGGAGATAAGAGAAATTATATTTACGTTAAATTAGTTTGTGGAATGCATAAATATTCAGTGATCAGTGCTTTCAATGTGCAAGCCATTAAATTTGATTAAATAATATCTTCATTGCAAAGCGAATAATGTACCTGCAAGCGCAGCAATTTATACACAGTTTAAAGGAGCCTTACTTTCTGTCCTCCTCCTCTCAGAGTGGCGGAGTCTCCACAGCTAGACTCCCCAAGGGAGGATTTGATCTCCTGTAGGAGTTCATCAACAGTAACGGATTTACTTGGGCAGGTGTGGGCTTGGCGGGTCTTCACAGTCCGGCTACAAGTGCAATAATTAACATTTAGCTGCAGGAAACATGCGGTAAACTCTCGCTTGTCTGATATGTTGATACTTCTAGTTATTCGAACGCGTGTCCTATTTGAACTATATAGGGCCTTCATAAGTGCATCACTTTCTTGAGTAATGACGCTGACATTCTCTTTAAGTTCCTTTGAGTCATGAACAAGCGAACAGTTCATTTTTGGAAATCTTTCTATTGCCGTTGTGTACCTTGAGGCAAACTCTGAAGATTTCTCAGATTTGAGTGCTCTGCCATTCTTATTTGAAACAGTTTCTTGATAACTCGAGAATTTTGATTCTTGTCTAGTTCCTTCCGGATACGAGGAGACCTGGAAGATACAGACCTTGACGAAAAATTGTAAGAAAGTCAGCAGCAAGACGCCAGAGATGAAGCAGACCGGACGACTCAGACCCGCCCGTCGCGCCATCTGTTGGGGGATGAGAACGGCGATATAATATTGAAATTTGAAATTGAAATTGAAATGAGTTTATTGAGGTAAAATACACACAAAGGGATGAGGTAGCTCAAGCTATTCTCACCCCGTTCAGTACATCGTGTTAATACATACATATACACACATCACAAACAATAAACATATTACCAAACATTCTGAGAGATAAACATATACATTTCCTACTTTACACAAGTAAGATATAATAACAGTTTGGTGATGTTCAACACCTTGTAGTTAAAATAGGTAAAGTAACAATAGTCCAGATAATAACTAATACATTTTCATGAGCTCATCAAGCAGTGACGGAAATTTGAGCTTACTAGATTTTAACAGGTTTTAATCCTAAAAACTAAATTTAATGATCTGTCAGATGTGTTTTGAATATCAGTGAAAGCAGAGTTTCCTTTTATCTCCCAGAACGCATAAATATATTACTACAATTCTCAACGTCGTACTTATGAGAGCAGTCATTTTCGTATTTAACGAATATAAAAACCATACAGAAGAATGAACTGATTGATGTTTGTGGAAAAAGAACCTGTGTGTGTCTATCAAAAATACGGCCACGAATCAAGTTGTTAAAAAAAGAAAGCTAAAATTTCATATTAAATTAGGAGACAATTAGCAGCATTATTAAGAATGTGATCACATTATGAGAATGTGGTCTCATCGGTTTCTAGCTGAAGAGACCACATTTCTAACTGCCGAAACACCATTTCAAGCTGTCGTGTCAAGTTCAAGTATGTTTATTGAGATAAGAAAGAAATACATCTCAAAGGGATAGAGTAGCTTAGGCTATTTCTACCCCCCTCTACTTCAAGTCCCTCAAGGGGTGCACAAATTCAGTGAGTACACATAGACAAATAACATTACAAGAATCCCATTTAACATTGCAGGTTAATATAGTAAGCACAGCATATAATTGTTACACTCTTGGGCTGTCGTGTCTTTAGTTACTAGTTTCCAAGACTAGGTTCCTATCAGCCGAGACTATAGGTCCTTGCTTTCGAGTGTATTTCAGTTAAAATAACATTTATTGCTCATGAGACAATGTTCCTTCGTTCCTAAGCAATGTTCCTTGGTTTTGAGACATGGTACTTGAAAACAATTATCCCATTTAAAACTATGTTCCTTAGGCCAATTATTGTATTCTGAGAAGACATTCCATGATTTTCTTGTTGGTAGTTTGATGTTTCTGAGATATATGTAAATATAAAAATATATACATTTGATAATTTTTTCTGATTTATTTCCCGAATTGTTGTTACTGTTGTGGGCGATCTCCGTGAAACATTTATTTTACTGTTATATTCAATATCAAAATTTTCTTATTTTTTTATATATATAAAAATATATAAAATCCAGTTGGTGTTGCCATAGTGGTTTTATGAATACGGTCGTATATCTTGCGAGAGCATGAATGTGGAGCAGTGGCATAAATGATTGACGGCCATTTGTGACGGTGTTATCACTGTGTTGCGCTTCCCGCAGACCAGAGAGTAAAAGTGGCTGTCACGCTGAAATTGTGCTCTTTCGAAACGTATGTTCTGCAACGTTTATACAAGTCTGCCGTCATCTTTCCTATTCCAGCCTAGCCCAGTGTGTTCGTTTGAATTAATGCCTAATTAGATGTTCGTTTGCGTATTTTGTCGATTAAACTATAACTGTATTATCTTTAAGAACTTTATTAGTGTTATAGAGTTAAGAACTTTATTAGTGCCATAGACGGTTTAGAACTTTATTAGTGATACAGTTGTCAAACATGCGTATTTCTAATACAGATGATTGAAACTCTCCATACACCATTCCTGTGTGTGTGTGTGCGCGTGTGTATTTACATATTTGTTTTTGCAGGATCGAGCCGTTAGTTTTTGGACCTTGCCTTTATATCGTAGGTTGTCTAATGTTCTGACTCCCGACCTAGTCTCTCTCTATGGTTTAATTGGAAGAGGGTTTCTCCAAAAGTCATTTTTCGTTCGAGGTGTGTACACTATAGCGTGTGTACTGAGGCGACCACTGGTGTACACAATACATTGTGTGTACTAACGCGACCACTGGTGTACACAATAGTGTGTGTGTACTAACGCGTCCACTAGTGTACACAATACAGTGTGTACTAACGCGTCCAATAGTGTACATAATACAGTGTGTGTACTAACGCGTCTTGAGCCAAGACGTTACCTGGCGTGACAGTCCGGCTAGGTCTTCACTAGTAATGCCAACTTTCACTAGACAAGCATCGCATGACGCGTCACAGACTTGTTACCAAACCTTCATGAATCAAACTTATGATTACTTTGTGGTTGAGCGCGCGGTGACAACACTACATTTTCTAAGTTGGCGACTTTTTGATCGTGAAACCGGTGGATGGAGAAAATGCAAATAGTTCTTCTGTAGTTCCATTCAATCTTTTTGTTCTGTACGTGAGCAGCACCAGATTATACATGAATTGATGTTAATGATGAAGATGAAGATTAAGCCACTCAAAAGGTGGCACGGGCATGAATAGCCTGTAAGTGGTGGCCCTTTTGAGCCATTACCAGTATCAATAGATGATACTGGAGATCTGTGGAGGTGTGACTGCACCCTGCGTGACGGGAGATGTCTCCGGATGTTAATGGTGTCACATGGATATATATATATACCCAGAAAGATTAGGGTTACATGTATGCTTGCAATTTTTGTTATGGCCTTTTGAATTTTAATCGTACAAAACATGAACCTTTTCTATACATCCCATCCATAGTAGCTAAAGGTTCTGTTATTTTTGAGAATGGGTTTGAAATATCACTGCTTAACCAGCGATAAGGAGACGTTCTCAAGAAATGAAGTAATATCACTGCATTGGCAACTCCAAGCCTAGTAACCCATAACTTCATATGTTCTGTATTTACTCTTTAAACATGAAAGACAAATAAATATGTAAGTATCATGTTGAATTTAGCTACACGTTTCACGCATAGGAAACTAGATATTATAACTGGCCTATCAAATCACGTTAAACGTGATAGTAACTAAAGTTATATTATTAGATCACGCAGCTTCCAGATTTAATTTAAAAAACACAAAGAAATCACATTAACGTAATGTATTAATGAGAAACCAAATAATCAACATCGATTATTTAAATCATTGTTGCCGTCATTACTATTCAGAGGCCATTGGGCAACTGATTCACTGTGCATAGTCAATGTCTTACAACCGTCTGTCTAGTATTCTTAAACCATTGACAGTAAGTGTTCAACAAAGGCTTGACCACACACACACACCTAGATATTAAGGATAACAGGAGCATGTATGTACACACCTAACAACTGTACGAAGCTTGTATGTATACATTGCAGCTGTCCGAAACATCTATGTACACAGTGCAGCTGTCCGAAACATCTATGTACACAGTGCAGTTGTCCGAAACATCTATGTACACAGTGCAGCTGTCCGAAACACCTATGCACACAATGCAGCTGTCCGAAACACCTATGTACACAATGCAGCTGCCCGAAACATCTATGTACACTGCATCTGTGCGAAACACTTATGTACATAGTGCAGCTGTGCGAAACATCTATGCACACAATGCAGCTGTCCGAAGCATTGATACTTTTTTCAATGCAACGTTCTAATTTATGAGTTAACACTGAACCCTTTTGAATTGAACATTCTAAATATATTAACTGCAAGATGAGCAAACACGTGGCACCTCTATAAATTATTACAAAGTGTTACAAGAACCTGTGCAGTGGTGTAGGAGGGCGAGGAGGGAGCAGCGTCGCCGTGTACCTGCCTCCTCGCCGGCCGCTCTGCGACTGACATGTTGTTGTTATAGATTCAGCTACTCGGAACAAGTTCCAAGTAGCACGGGCTATGGTGAGCCCGTAACTTACCTGGCACAGGAGCGGGGCAAGTAGCACGGGCTATGGTGAGCCCGTAGTGCACTTACCTGGCACAGGAGCGGTGCTGTACTCTGTGACATAGTGCTGTTCAACCCTTACACTTGCCTGGGGGACGTCTCAACACTGGCATCTTATTTACATACAGTATTAGGAAAAGTAGCTTCTCATATGAGTAAAATATTATAGTACAGATGATATAATGGATTATTCAACGTAATTGAATTAGTTTTTCTTTTATCTGTTCCTTTGGGCACCATTCCTTTCCCTCCGTCCCATACCAAAATCCTTATCCTGACCCTTTCCCAGTGCTATATAGTTGTAATGGCTTGGCGCTTATTCCTTAATTTGTATATATATTTTATATATACGTACATCAGATTATAAATCGAGTTATTATTTTATTTCCACAAATGTGCACATACAGTATCTTACGTTTACATTGGGGTTAAAAATTAATTTATATTAATTTGCATTGCCCGCAAATTTAGGAGAAAGCATAACCAAGAATTTAGTTACGAGAGAAACGAATCCAATCACCTGTAAAGGCAACAGGTGATTGTTTGTAAATCACCCCACCAACCCAACCACTTGTAAAGACTGTCCCTTGGAACTTTTCCATCAGGTGTTGGTAAGGATTCAAGTTTGATGTGTTACTACGCCTGTCTGGAATAATCAGGCTATGCACGTATCCCTGTGGCCTTCTCATATTAATGGAATGTGATCCTGACATGAATATGAAATCATATGATCAGGTGATTGAGAGGCTAATTTTCCGGCTGTATCTGACATAATTAATGTTCTTTCGTCCAGATATGCTCCTGATGTGTTTAACTGTAACGAGTCAAAATTAACTGAATTTTGTAACTAGAATTTTTAAATAAATGTAATACAGTGTAGTATTTGTTTTACCCCCAGAAAGTTTGCGAAAATAATGTTGTATATTCCCCAAATTTGCCACAACATTGGCACTTTCAAGTACTTTCGTGACACTATCTGCTGAGTAGTCTCTTGTTATGTTATTTGTACTCGCCTTTTTGTTACGCTAAGTGCACAGTAGCCTATTATTATGATATTAGTTGTACTGACTTTCTATACTTGTATATTGTTTCTGAGCGCCACGTGTTTATATTTTTTGTTATCATTTAAACTAACATTTATATATATATGCTCGTTTATCACCGAGAAAATAACAATGTTGAATACGCAGTTTGTTAAAATTGATGGATGCATCTTTGGGTTCGGCGCTGCCTGGACGAGCCTAGCCTGAGGACACGTTCAGGGAAGACAACAATAACATCTCTTCCAAGGCGCCTGACAATGCACAAACATTAAGGCCCCATCAAGGAACATGTGTCTGGTCTCAACACACACCCAGATCTCCTGACAAACAACGCTAAAATAATCGACACATACAACAATAGAAGATTGGACATCGGCTAGGCATTGAGTATCTAGCAAATTCAGTCAACCATCAGCATCCAGCTAACATACGGTTACACTCAACCATCAACAGCCAGCTTACATGCGGTTACATTCAACCATCAACAGCCAGCTTACACGCGGTTACACTCAACCATCAACAGCCAGCTTACACACGGTTACATTCAACCATCAACAGCCAGCTTACATACGGTTACACTCAACCATCAACATCCAGCTTACATACGGTTACACTAAACCATTAACAGCCAGCTTACACACGGCTCCAAGTATCATTTAGCTGAGATACACATGTAACTGAGACGTGTATCTCTGCTAAATTAATTATTACAACAATCTTGTAAAATAATAAAAAATCATCGTACTTTACAAGATTTACTTTATATAGCATCATTAAAACATGTCAACCAATATTGTACAAGGTTATGAAATACTGTACTACTCATAATAACGATATTATAAATGATTAAATCTATAGTGTATTATTTTATATTATAACAGGAGCATAAGCATATTTCTTCCTAAATAGAGCATACTCTATGTCTATACTTTTTTCAAGAAACCATAGATATAGCCTATTATAATATTCTTGTATTTATTGCACAACTCGTGTGTCTGCTGAAAAATATCTTAGGGGGCGCGACTGTTTATTCAATTTGCTAAAATGTATTTAAATATTTACTTAAAAAAGTAAAGAATTTGATTTTGAATTTGTATGTGGTTGTGACAATGATTTACTATTTACTGACTGGAAAAGGGATCCTGTAAGACTTATCTATGTAGTCAAGGGATTATCCACTGTGCCACCAAATGTCATCTGTGTCACTATCATCTGTCACGTAACATGTCTATCATGCGATGGTGGTGATAATGCACGATGTGTGATGGTGACAGCGTATGACGTGGTGGAGGTGACAACGCATGACGTGAGGTGCAGGTGACACAACGTATGATGTCTAAGAGGTGACACAACGTATGATGTGTAAGAGGTGACACAAGGCATGGCGTGAGGTGGAGGTGACACAACGTATAGCGTGAGGTGTATATGACACAAGGCATGACGTGTAAGAGGTGCCACAACGTATACCATGTGGTGCAGGTGACACAAGGCACGACGCGAGGTGTTAGCATGTGGAGATAATGGAGCGGGAGCGGCGTATGGTGGTGTCGGAGGGAGGAGGACCGGGGGCGTGCGCGGGGCTGGAGCGCGGCGGCGGCGGCCCACGGCACCAGTGGGAGGAGGAGCCGGACGGGCAGTGAGCGCGCGACTCTGCTAGTGGCTACGTTACGCGACCTGGACCACCGGCCGACGCGCTATACCTTCTCTACCGCCATTCCTCGACCCCTCTCTCTGCTCTGTGATGCGAGATGAGGAGCGGAGGCGGCGTCCCCCTGGCCGCTCTGCTTCTGGGCCTCCTGCTGCAGCGCGCACTAGGTCAGTCTCCCACGCAAGCAAAGGCTCGCGGGGGGATGAAAATCTTCTAGGCAGCGCCGCGGGCCAACATCCATCCATCTCTGGCGAGGGATGCGAGCAATGTGTTGCGATAACTGTCACCTTTGTGGACGTGTTCGGTGTACAACGTGTACAGCGGTGCTCCGGGTCAAGCACACCGGGGGGGAAGGGGAGATGGTGTTCTGGCCACACACCGCAGGGGTCATGAGGAAAATGGCTCGCAAAAAGTAGAGAGAGAGAGAGAGAGAAGGAGGGAGTGGTACGCGTGCGTGATGACTGCACAGTGTTTTCGTTGTTCACATGTTATCTCAGCCTTACCACTAACATTATCCTGCCAGGCTGCAAGTGATGTGCTAAGACTAAGCAGCTCGTGGTGTAATATTGTTACATGTGACTGGAGTGTGTTGTGAGGAGCGGATGAGTGCGTGTGAGGGGGAGTGTGTGTGGAAGGCCAGATGCCATTACGTGAGCATAGTTGGGGGGTAAAACGTGTGGGTGGGTAAATAAGAACGCCCCCCCCCAAAAAAAAAAAGTCATTGTTTGCTTGTTCCTAGATGACTGGTCCCCCCAACCCCCTTCATTTTGATTGATAGTTGCCTCTTCCTATCTTCACTATGTCTGTTTGCAACGGTCTCCATTTATCACCTACGAGATTGTTTCTGCTATGAGGTTCAATCTCTGTTGTCTGTTAAGATGTGCTTCTCTCAAGATTTTTGTGCTTGTATTAACACATACACACACACACACACCTCGGGGGGTGCATCAGTGTGTGTGCATCTAGAGGGGCCCTCGCAGCTGAGTGGACAACGCTCTGGGGTCATAGTCCTAATGACCTGGGTTCGATTATCTGGGCGAGGTAGCAACAAATGGGTAGAGTTTTTTTTCACCTGATGCACTTGTTCACCTGATACCCCCTGTATTATTAAATACGATACTCAAGGAAATTAGGAAATTCCTGTCTATAATAGGGTCACACTACATTATATGTAATATAATGTAGTGTGACCCTAGAGTTTAGAACGTCACTAAAGAAGCTAGCCGCGAAAATTCCAGTGTTCTTTCGTCGGCATCTCCTCTACCACCATATTTTCGAATCCTTTAACCAGCTTCCCCCCGTCAGCGCCTGCCAGAGGAGGTCACGCACGAACCTCATCGTATACTGCTCACCTCTAATACGTGGGAGCTCCTTTGCAGACGCCGCTGCTAACTTCTGATATAGTGTGTGCACCGTTCGAAGCTTATCTGACCTGATCCAGGCTCTGTGTGTGTGAGAGAAAATATATATATAGTAGAAGTGATTGAAAAAAATAGGTCGAAAGTCAGTACATTAGACAATCGACGATTGGAAAGGCGGGTTCCAAGAACTAGATCTTGCCGGCACAAATAGTAAATACACACACAATCAAATAGACCTGTCCTACTCTCCAGAAAAAAGGTAAATTACTAATGAAATTAGCAACGAACAACAACATTAGCAGTACTTACAATAGCTACGAACAACAGTAGTAGTACTAACGGCAACAACGAACAATAATAACATAAGTACTAACGGCAACAACGAACAATAACAACATAAGCACTAACGGCATCAACGAACAATAACAACATAAGTACTAACGGCAACAACGAACAATAACAGTATCAGTAGAAACGGCACCAACGAAAACAACAACAACGATGCAAGAACCTACCGCTATTGATTTCCCAGGAAGGAGGAGGAGGAGGAGGCTGCCAGAGTGGAGAAACGAAACGTTTGTGTGTGTGTGTGTGTGTGTGTGTGTGTGTGTGTTTGTGTGTGTGTGTGTGTGTGTGTGTGTGTGTGTGTGTGTGTGTGTGTGTGTGTGTGTGTGTGTGTGTGTAATCACCTGGATGCGTTATAGAATCGAGCTTTAGCTTCCAAGTCCCACCTTTTCCTCCCAAATTGCAATGAGTGCCAATGACTCGTATCCTAATTTGCCCAATTTTCATAATTGTTTTCATTCTATGGAACACAGAAGGGGAAACTAAATTATAATAGTGAACAATTGAAATGCACTATTAAGAGAAGTGGTGAAAGCAGACGCCATAGACAGTTCAAATGAAGATATAACACAATATGTCTGATAAGTGTATATTAGTTGATTCAGGGTTGAGATGTTATAGAATCAGCTACTTGGAACTCAAAATTCCAAGTAGCACGGGCTATGGTGAGCCCGTGCAGAGACGGATCAAAGAGCTAAACCTCATAACCCCGGCAAAAACAATTGGGTAAGTCCAGCCCCAAACTTATACTTACCTAATTATCTTCCACTCGCCCAACTAACCCACCCTACCTCAACACTACTCAAAACTGCATCTGCCCATTCCAGCGTTTTTATTTATTTTTTGTATGAGAAAGGGGCTTGGGTTACCTGGTTGATACCTGGTTGATGGGGTTCTGGGAGTTCTTCTACTCCCCAAGCCCGGCCCGAGGCCAGGCTTGACTTGTGAGAGTTTGGTCCACCAGGCTGTTGCTTGGGTGCACAAGGGAAACAACCCACAACATGCACACTTACCCTTTAAAGGTCCCAGCTCCGCTGCATAATTTAGTGAGTGATGAATGCGGTGATGATCCGGTGAATATTGACGAGTATGGTGGTGACTGGGTGACTGCTGATGAGTATAGTGATGATTGGGTGATATACTAATTGCGAGGTGATAGTGATATATTGAGTCAGCATGATAGCTGATTGTGATGTATTGACAGTCAGATGATAGCTGATTGTGATATATTGACAGTCAGATGATAGCTGATAGTGATATATTGACAGTCAGATGATAGCTGATAGTGATATATTGACATTCAGATGATAGCTGATAGTGATATATTGACAGTCAGATGATAGCTGATAGTGATATAATAGTAGCGAGGTGATAGTGATCGGCTGAAAGTGAGTTGATAGCTGATAGTGATACATTGTCAGGTGATAGCTGATTGTGATATATTGAAAGTCAGGTGATAGCTGATTGTGATATATTGATAGTGAAGTAATAGCTAGTTAGAATGCAGTGATAATGGATAATTTTTAAGGCAATAATTAAGTCATTTCTGACAGTGAAGTTATAGCTTATAGTTCTTTAATCAATCCATCCTCCTAAAATGAAAGTACAGTACTGTACTGTACATACAGTAACAGTGTGATCGAAAGTACCAATATATCGTGATGGACCATCAGAAAATAGACTCTTGTATTATTGAATTTGGATAAACTGGAAACTTTTGTTTTTCTGTAGCGAGATAAATATATGGCCTTACCTATGCCAACCTCTCTTAGCACTCCCAGGTCTAATACACCCATATTTTAGCCTAATACATACATATATGCTATTCTTAGCATATAATAGAATTCTAGTCTATTCTTCTATTCTTGTATGCTTCGCTATATTGTACATATGCTATTCTAGGACTAGGAATTTTTAAGTTTGGATTTCAGCTTAATCTTTTCCGGACTATACCAAAAAAATAGTACAACATATGGTTTGCTGGAGCTCCATTGCTACATAGTGGTACAATCGACCCAATAATTAGAGAGTACTATACTTTCAGGTGGATAGGGGGTAGTACTATCATTCCAGGTGGATATGAGGGTAGTATTATCATTTCAGGTGGATAGGGGTTAGTACTATCATTCCAGGTGGATATGAGGGTAGTATTATCATTTCAGGTGGATAGGGGGTTGGATTTCATGATGGCAATGGTGGAGGAATAGTGAGAATGAGAAATATCGAGTTACTTATAGTATAATAATGGCGACTATAACGATAATGATAGTCACATTATGATGGTGGTGATGGTGACCCTACTATATAGTAGTATAGTAAATAAATGAATAATAGTGATATTCATTATTTTGTTGGTGGTAAAATTCTCATGCAAGTGATAATGACATTATTACGGTGATGCTAGAGACAGCCTCATTGTGGTGACGACCTTAATTTGGTGGTGATAGTGATGCTATCATGGTAGTGACAGTGAAGTATGATGGTGATAGTGATACAATTATTGCGGTGATAGTGACATTTATTATGTACAGTGTGATACATTCAATTAAAATATCGTGAGTCTACTGCTGTGTTGATGCTATTGACGTGTTATGGAAATGGTGAATTGCTTATGGTGAGTACAATGAAGGATAGTGATTATGATGATTCTGTGGTAGGAATTTCACGATGTAGCAGATTTGCAGTTTGATTTAAAAAATAAATTTTCGCAGCCTAGCTCCCCAAAGGGGCAGTTAGGTGATTTACGTTTGGCATATAATGCAATATAATTAATTTTTGTGCCTATTGTTCAATAATTATACTGTCGGTATATAACAGTTGGATATACTGAACATTAATCTTCCTATAACACGTATGTATACTGAACGTTTATCAACATAACACGTGGATATACTAAAGATATATCAACATATAAAACGTTCATATACAGAACATTCATTGACATATAAAACTTGGATATGGATATACTGACTTTTCATAAACATATAACACTAGGATATGCGGGATATTCATCAGCATATTCCACTTAGATATGCTGACTGTTCATCATCATACAGCACGAGGATAAATTGAACATTCATCAACATATAACACGTGGATATGCTGAGTATTCATCAATATATGACACGTATAAAATATATTGTTAGGTAGTCACAGTTCACCGGCACATTATACAGTCACGGTTCACCGTACCATTACACTGTTCACCTTCATACTAATGGAATGACAAATAGCAGTCACCATTCATGTTGAATGGTGACTGCTAAACAGTCACCATTCAACATGATAACCACGCTAAAACAATTATTATTCCTCGATTAGATTGGAAAATTGGATGAATTCCTCGATTCATCCAATTATTATTATTATTATTATTATTATTATTATTATTATTATTATTATATTAGTTTTGCTTGTAAAAAATGGACACTAGTTATTACTGTTATTTTTATTCTTTAGTA